TGTATTCTGATAAACCACATGTTGTGAGAGACTGTATATTCTGATAAACCACATGTCGTGAGGGACTGTATATTCTGATAAACCACATGTTGTGAGGGATAAATCTGATAAACCACATGTTGTGAGGGACTGTATATTCTGATAAACCGCATGTTGTGAGGGACTGTGTATTCTGATAAACCACATGTTGTGAGGGACTGTATATTCTGATAAACCACATGTTGTGAGGGATTGTATATTCTGATAAACCGCATGTTGTGAGGGACTGTGTATTCTGATAAACCATATGTTGTGAGAGACTGTGTATTCTGATAAACCACATGTTGTGAGAGACTGTATATTCTGATAAACCACATGTCGTGAGGGACTGTATATTCTGATAAACCACATGTTGTGAGAGACTGTATATTCTGATAAACCACATGTCGTGAGGGACTGTATATTCTGATAAACCACATGTTGTGAGGGATTGTAAGATCTGATAAACCACATGTTGTGAGGGACTGTATATTCTGATAAACCGCATGTTGTGAGGGACTGTGTATTCTGATAAACCACATGTTGTGAGGGACTGTATATTCTGATAAACCACATGTTGTGAGGGATTGTATATTCTGATAAACCGCATGTTGTGAGGGACTGTGTATTCTGATAAACCACATGTTGTGAGAGACTTGGATACAATGCTTCTCATTTTTCTCACACTTTTGATAGTGGACTAACACTTTTGTCCATTCGTTGAACATTGAACTGTCGTCCAAGCTCGGTCATTTCCACTCTTACTTTGATAAAGGAAACAGACGTTGTCGAAAGCTCGCAAACATAGTTTTCAGTCCCTGTTTGCGCTAAACGTAAACATCTTCTGAAATATATATGTTCCAAACTGATGGGTTACCTTCAGAGCCGTAGTACTATCTAGACTCAAACGAGTGGAAAGACGACTTAACCGGAGTCAATTAGATTAAAATTTCCAAGATGAACTCGATGGAGCCAGTCAAGGTCAAGCAGAAATCATCAATCATATCAAATGATAATTGCATACTGACAGACTTGGTCTGGGTTTTATTCATTAGAGCTGCTATGGTCAATTAAAGATGGCCTTTCAACATAAGTGAAGTGAATGCTTTGTGTTAAGTATATGTGTTTCCGGGAGGCTGCGATATATTCGTAATAACACACTAAGTTTACTGTTCAAATCTCCCGATAGGACACCCTACCTGATCACATTATACTGACAACTGACAAACCATTCGTTATACTACCAGGACACCCTACCTGGTCACATTATACTGACAACTGACAAACCTGTCGTTACACTACCAGGACACCCTACCCGATCACATTATACTGACAACGGACAAACCTGTCGTTACACTACCAGGACACCCTACCTGATCACATTATACTGACAAAGGACAAACCTGTCGTTACACTACCAGGACACCATACCTGGTCACATGATACTGACAAAGGACAAACCTGTCGTTACACTACCAGGACACCCTACCTGATCACATTATACTGACAAAGGACAAACCTGTCGTTACACTACCAGGACACCCTACCTGGTCACATTATACTGACAAAGGACAAACCTGTCGTTACACTACCAGGACACCATACCTGGTCACATTATACTGACAACGGACAAACCATTCGTTATACTACCAGGACACCCTACCTGGTCACATTATACTGACAACGGACAAACCATTCGTTATACTACCAGGACACCCTACCTGGTCACATTATACTGACAACGGACAAACCTGTCGTTATACTACCAGGACACCCTACCTGGTCACATTATACTGACAACGGACAAACCATTCGTTACACTACCAGGACACCATACCTGGTCACATTATACTGACAACGGACAAACCATTCGTTACACTACCAGGACACCCTAACCGGGTCATATTATACTGACAACGGACAAACCTGTCGTTACACTACCAGGACACCCTACCTGGTCAAATTATACTGACAACGGACAAACCATTCGTTATACTACCAGGACACCCTACCTGGTCACATTATACTGACAACGGACAAACCATTCGTTACACTACCAGGACACCCTACCTGGTCACATTATACTGACAACGGACAAACCATTCGTTACACTACCAGGACACCCTAACCGGGTCATATTATACTGACAACGGACAAACCTGTCGTTACACTACCAGGACACCCGAACTGGTCAAATTATACTGACAACGGACAAACCTGTCGTTACACTACCAGGACACCCTACCTGGTCACATTATACTGACAACGGACAAACCATTCGTTATACTACCAGGACACCCTACCTGGTCACATTATACTGACAACGGACAAACCATTCGTTACACTACCAGGACACCCTACCTGGTCACATTATACTGACAACGGACAAACCATTCGTTACACTACCAGGACACCCTAACCGGGTCATATTATACTGACAACGGACAAACCTGTCGTTACAATACCAGAACAACATACCTGATCACATTATACTGACAACTGACAAACCTGTCGTTACACTACCAGGACACCCTACCCGATCACATTATACTGACAACGGACAAACCTGTCGTTACACTACCAGGACACCCTACCTGATCACATTATACTGACAACTGACAAACCTGTCGTTACACTACCAGGACACCCTACCCGGGTCATATTATACTGACAACTGACAAACCTGTCGTTACACTACCAGGACACCCTACCTGGTCACATTATACTGACAAAGAACAAACCTGTCGTTACACTACCAGGACACCCTACCTGGTCACATTATACTGACAACGGACAAACCATTCGTTACACTACCAGGACACCCTACCTGGTCACATTATACTGACAACTGACAAACCTGTCGTTACACTACCAGGACACCCTACCCGGGTCATATTATACTGACAACTGACAAACCTGTCGTTACACTACCAGGACACCCTACCTGGTCACATTATACTGACAACGGACAAACCATTCGTTACACTACCAGGACACCCTACCTGGTCACATTATACTGACAACTGACAAACCTGTCGTTACACTACCAGGACACCCTACCTGGTCACATTATACTGACAACGGACAAACCTGTCGTTATACTACCAGGACACCCTACCTGATCACATTATACTGACAACGGACAAACCTGTCGTTACACTACCAGGACACCCTACCTGGTCAAATTATACTGACAACGGACAAACCAGTACCAGGCCACCCCAACCGATCACATTATACTGACAACGGGTACACCAGTCGTTACACGATCATAAGACTGAGCGTTAAAAGACTTTGGTGTGTCTCGTCCAGGGGACATAACCCAAAGCCTTCCTCATAGGATGTCAGCTGGTTCGATTGTTAGGTGATTGAGAGTCTTAATACAGACTACACGATCTTATAGGGACATATCCCATTTCCTTGTGCGGTATGACCACGTGTTTGATGCTCGTTAGTATGCTACGTTGTTGTTTAATCTTGTTCCCATTTAAGAACATGATTGTATTTACTTCGATTGACCAAATAATTGCTCTTGTCGTTAATGTGACAAGAAGACACTTATGCTTTTTTCAAGAGTCCCCATGTAAGTCCTTCTCTTGTTTTTGCTTTGCCTTCTTTCCAGCGATTTTGGGCAATCACATTTTTATTATGTCGTTAATTTTTCAAAGCCTTCTTACATATTGAATAAGACGCTGATGTCCACGGTGTTGTGCCTAATCTCAGAGATTTGTCAGTCTTGTATTACTCCTGCTACGAAAGTGTTGTTCATCATTTCGTTTCATTATACGAGTTATATTCTTATGATAGACAAGGATATTACAGAGCGTCTTGTGAGGTTTCACGGCTGCAAATGATATCTGATAACTATTTCATGTACGTAATGACAACCTGTCACGTGATTTTATTCCTTTTCTTGACGGTCCTTCTCTTAGACCCTTCCTTTTTCCTTTCTTCAATTACTTGTTTGCCCTCTGAATTGCTAACTCCGAACACGTGTTAATGGTGCCAAGGCCTCCTGTCTAACTTCAGCTGGGGAGGCTGGAAGTTGAGGTATTGATCAGTGTCTGTTAACTTTCTGCTGAAAAATACTTTGACTGCCGTTATCTGTTTTTACACGAAGTGTGTAAAGGAAGAATGTCATTGGTTTCTGGCACGTGAACTTGATGCGGTAGTATTTTCTGTATAGATATGCTGGTTCCAAAGTTTTGTGACTCTTTCTTAACTATCATCAATACATCATCAACGTGTCGTTTATACAGACTTAACTTCAAAATGTACCACTAACAAGCTAACTAGGGACAAGTGGCCGCAATTGGCTGTCAAAACGTCGCTAATAGATAGTGGCTCGGCAAGGGATTTTTTTCTAATACGTGAAATCATTCAGTATTTTCACACTTCTCATTCGTATGTTGAAAAGTGTAGATATAGAGATGTCACGCCTTAATGCCTTTTAAATAGTGTATAAGAACTTGCGTCCAACTTCATATCGCAGAAGAAATCAAACAGTTCTGATTGAGGTCATTATGACGACAGTAAATCGTCCCTATCATCTCAATCAACCTGCATCTCTCCAAACTTTGTGTTGTCAGTTTTTCAGTTGCTGACATCTTGCTCGAAAATCGTGATATTGGGAAGAGACGTTCAATAAGGCACCAACCGCACTATGTAAAACCTGCAGCCATTTATAACACTAATTTACATACTGTCGGTCTGTGTGTTAGGACGCCGCAGTAATAGGAAAAACATCCAAACTTGAAAATTTAACCAACAAAAATGAAAATAATTCGCCATTTATGCCAAATGACCTTTATTCTAACGAAGCAGTTTAGTAATGATATAAGATCATATTAAGGTAGAAATATGTACTTTAAATCTGTTTTGTATAACACTATCTATCACTGGAACGCCAGATGATTTACAACCTATACGCCAAGTTGAAGGTTATCGTGTAAATCGGGTAATGTTTATAGAACAGGGTAGGAGTTAAGTTTGGATCCTTTCGGCGGTGTTGTACAGCAGAGGTCACCCTGATAGATATACCGCTCAAAGTAAGTTACTGATCTATTCTGTTGTTAGAAAATAAGTTTTTTTCCCCTGAAAAACCTCAAACGCAATGCGTGTGTTGTGTTATATAATTGCCTGAGAGAAAAATGTTTTGGTATCATCATGATCGCCGGCAGCAAGTGTTCACGTGTGCGGGTCTTCACTCACCAAGCACAGCGGCACATCACATAAAGTGCACCTTTCCTGACGTCCAACTTTCATTTTACGTGTGGGAGGAAAAACACGCGTAGTTCAGAGTTCCCGGAATTTGTTGGATTCCAACTGGACAGCCCAATGGCACGTGCGCACTTCTGGGCCAGTGATTCATCTGGTCGTAATGCAGACTCTAAGCTCTTGAGGAGACTCATTATTTTACAATTCATAGGTTTTTATTTAATGTTTTACTGTTAACCGATAAACTGATTGTTCAATGTAAATCCGTAAATCCTTGTTGTGGGTGGGGGTGGGGGAGGGGTTATGTCTAACAGATAACAATTATGTATTTCGATTTTTTTAAATTTGACCTTAATACATTTTTATTGCATTTCAATTGCAACGAGATTGAGCACAAGTTATACAACTTATACCAAGCCATTTCCCTACAATAAATCATATACACATATGTTAACATGTTCAAAAAACCACATTTCCTATTTCCTATAGTATATTTGAAAGCAGAGAATTGAGACACTGTGCGTAATATTTCGGAAGACGTGATCCTGCTGTCTAATTGTAGAGGGAAGAAAGGTAGGATAGACAACAGTGCTTTGTTATTAGGTGAAATATAGATTTTCTGTAATACGGAGAGTTAAGTGATCAGCAACACGGGTGAGTATTCAGGTAGTTAGGAGTAACATCATTGTGTACATTGTGTAACAAATAAGCGTGTTTTACAATCGTCAGTTATTTCGTCTCTATTCCATCCCATCTCATCGTTCTGGCATTATCAATCGTCAGTTCAATTTGCTTAAAAAGAAATCTTGAGGAAGACATTTTCTTCCAAACTGATTAAAAAACACACAACCCACTGTCTGTGTTTAGTGTTAAATCATGATTCTAGGTAAGTTAAAGTTGGGGATAAACAATTTGATGGGCCTTATAAGAGTGAATAATGATAGATTTCAAAGATTACCTGGCATTACAAGAACATTACATAAGGAGATCAGATCGACTCGTCTGTCAGGTGTGCTCTAACGTCACATTTGTCGTGGTGCTTTAAAGTGCCAACATTGCATGTAGGTTTGGTACATGGTGTTGATTTTTGACACTTATCTCTGTTCAAAATTCGCATTAATATGAGATGCCTGTTAATATTGGTCTCGTTGACCCTGGCGTGTATTGCTGTCGAGTAGATACTTCTGTGTTGAATAAAATGAATGAAGAACTGTCGATACTGAATTTCAACCCTTGATTTGCGCACAAACATGCTTGAAAACGAAGTGTTACTATAAGCGTTATATACACTGGAAAGTGTGTCGTATATAATCTAGCTTGTAACACCAATTAGTTTTGAGATGTAAATGAAGCGTAGCGGTTCTATACGGAACAGCCTATACATCTAGCTAACAGGATGTCGGCCAAAAGTCGCTACGATAGCGGTAGAAATGTCGACAAATAACGCACAGGTTAACGAGACTGATTGATGCAAAAGAGTTGCCAAAAGAAAGGTATGAAACCTCCTGTAACGTGGCTTAGGCTGACGGACGAGCAGACATGTTCGGACGATGGTTGGCTATTTCTGTGTCAAGGTCACTGAAAATGAAGCATACTTATGTAGAAGTGTTTACAATACACGTGTAGATACAAACAGGTATCCACCCATAAAACACTTCATATTGTCGTGGAAGAAAACAAGGAAAACCAAGCTCGGTTCAGACTGAACAATTATCGTGATGAAGAAACAGCTGTTTACCGCGTTGTTTTATGATAATGGAGTAGGTAACCTTCCTGTATGATGGAATTTACAGTCGTTGTTACAAGTTGTTATAGACGAAACTGTTCATTACTATAGATGTACTGAAGGATACATGTAGGTCAGTCATGTGTCAGAAAAAAAACAGGTCAGATTAGATCCTGTGACAGAACAAACCAACAGGTCAGGTAAGGTCACGTGACAGCCTAAAAAAACTGCCAAGCCAGGTTTTGTTATGTTATAGAACAAAACAACAGGTCAGGTTATGTCACATTACAGAACAAAACAACAGGCCAGGTTAGGTCATGTTATAGAACAAAACAACAGGTCAGGTTAGGTCATGTCATAGAACAAAACAACAGGTCAGGTTAGGTCATGTTATAGAACAAAACAACAGGCCAGGTTAGGTCATGTTATAGAACAAAACAACAGGCCAGGTTAGGTCATGTCATAGAACAAAACAACAGGTCAGGTTAGGTCATGTTATAGAACAAAACACCAGGCCAGGTTAGGTCATGTTACAGAACAAAACAACAGGCCAGGTTATGTCATGTTATAAAACAAGACAACAGGCCATGTTATGTCATGTTATAGAACAAAACACCAGGCCAGGATATGTCACATTACAGAACAAAACAACAAATCAGGTTAGGTCATGTTATAGAACAAATCAACAGGGCAGCTTAGGTCATGTTATAGAACAAAACACCAGGCCAGGTTAGGTCATGTTACAGAACAAAACAACAGGCCAGGTTATGTCACATTACAGAACAAAACAACAGGTCAGGTTAGGTCATGTTATAGAACAAAACAACAGGCCAGGTTAGGTCATGTTACAGAACAAAACAACAGGTCAGGTTAGGTCATGTTATAGAACAAAACAACAGGCCAGGTTAGGTCACATTACAGAACAAAACAACAGGTCAGGTTAGGTCATGTTATAGAACAAAACAACAGGTCAGGTTAGGTCATGTTACAGAACAAAACAACAGGCCAGGTTAGGTCATGTTACAGAACAAAACAACAGGCCAGGTTAGGTCATGTTATAGAACAAAACAACAGGTCAGGTTAGGTCACATTACAGAACAAAACAACAGGCCAGGTTAGGTCATGTTACAGAACAAAACAACAGGCCAGGTTATGTCACATTACAGAACAAAACAATAGATCAGGTTATGTCATGTTATAAAACAAGACAACAGGCCATGTTATGTCATGTTATAGAACAAAACACCAGGCCAGGATATGTCACATTACAGAACAAAATAACAAATCAGGTTAGGTCATGTTATAGAACAAATCAACAGGGCAGCTTAGGTCATGTTATAGAACAAAACACCAGGCCAGGTTAGGTCATGTTACAGAACAAAACAACAGGCCAGGTTATGTCACATTACAGAACAAAACAACAGGTCAGGTTAGGTCATGTTATAGAACAAAACAACAGGCCAGGTTAGGTCATGTTACAGAACAAAACAACAGGCCAGGTTATGTCACATTACAGAACAAAACAACAGGTCAGGTTAGGTCATGTTATAGAACAAAACAACAGGCCAGGTTAGGTCATGTTACAGAACAAAACAACAGGTCAGGTTAGGTCATGTTATAGAACAAAACAACAGGCCAGGTTAGGTCACATTACAGAACAAAACAACAGGTCAGGTTAGGTCATGTTATAGAACAAAACAACAGGTCAGGTTAGGTCATGTTACAGAACAAAACAACAGCCAGGTTAGGTCATGTTACAGAACAAAACAACAGGCCAGGTTAGGTCATGTTATAGAACAAAACAACAGGTCAGGTTAGGTCACATTACAGAACAAAACAACAGGCCAGGTTAGGTCATGTTACAGAACAAAACAACAGGCCAGGTTATGTCACATTACAGAACAAAACAATAGATCAGGTTATGTCATGTTATAAAACAAGACAACAGGCCATGTTATGTCATGTTATAGAACAAAACACCAGGCCAGGATATGTCACATTACAGAACAAAATAACAAATCAGGTTAGGTCATGTTATAGAACAAAACAACAGGCCAGCTTAGGTCATGTTATAGAACAAACAACAGATCAGGTTATGTCATGTTATAAAACAAGACAACAGGCCATGTTATGTCATGTTATAGAACAAAACACCAGGCCAGGATATGTCACATTACAGAACAAAACAACAAATCAGGTTAGGTCATGTTATAGAACAAAACAACAGGGCAGCTTAGGTCATGTTATAGAACAAAACAACAGGCCAGGTTAGGTCATGTTACAGAACAAAACAACAGGCCAGGTTATGTCACATTACAGAACAAAACAACAGGTCAGGTTAGGTCATGTTACAGAACAAAACAACAGGCCAGGTTAGGTCATGTTACAGAACAAAACAACAGGCCAGGTTAGGTCATGTTATAGAACAAAACAACAGGTCAGGTTAGGTCACATTACAGAACAAAACAACAGGCCAGGTTAGGTCATGTTACAGAACAAAACAACAGGCCAGGTTATGTCACATTACAGAACAAAACAATAGATCAGGTTATGTCATGTTATAAAACAAGTCAACAGGCCATGTTATGTCATGTTATAGAACAAAACACCAGGCCAGGATATGTCACATTACAGAACAAAATAACAAATCAGGTTAGGTCATGTTATAGAACAAAACAACAGGCCAGCTTAGGTCATGTTATAGAACAAACAACAGATCAGGTTATGTCATGTTATAAAACAAGACAACAGGCCATGTTATGTCATGTTATAGAACAAAACACCAGGCCAGGATATGTCACATTACAGAACAAAACAACAAATCAGGTTAGGTCATGTTATAGAACAAAACAACAGGGCAGCTTAGGTCATGTTATAGAACAAAACAACAGGCCAGGTTAGGTCATGTTACAGAACAAAACAACAGGTCAGGTTAGGTCATGTTATAGAACAAAACAGACAAACAAACGAAGATGGACAGACAAAGATGCGACTCTATGCTCTTCTGTCTGGGAGCATAAAAATGACAGCTGCAAAAGGACTAGGTGAGCTAAACACTGAGGAAATCACCAGAGAACAACTGATTGTTGACCTTCACCTCTATGGAAACAGGGTAATTGTAAGGATACAGATAATGACCTGCCAATCATATGAATATAGACAGATAACGACCCTCATCACTGTAGGAACAGGATAATTAAAAGAATACAATCAGATAATGACCTTCACCTCTACAGGAGCAAGGTGATTGTAAAAATACAGATAATGACCTTCACCTCTAGGGGAACAGGATGATTGTAAGAATACAGACAGATAATGACCTTCACCTCTACAGGAACAGGATGATTGTAAGAATACAGACAGATAATGACCTTCACCTCTAGAGGAAATGGGTGACTGTAAGAATACAGACAGATAATGACCTTCACCTCTAGAGGAACAGGTTGATTGTAAGAATACAGACAGATAATGACCTTCACCTCTACAGGAACAGATTGATTGTAAGAATACAGACAGATAATGACCTTCACCTCTACAGGAACAGGGTGATTGTAAGCATACAGATAATGACCTTCACCTCTACAGGAGCAGGGTGATTGTAAGCATACAGATAATGACCTTCACCTCTACAGGAGCAGGGTGATTGTAAGCATACAGATAATGACCTTCACCTCTACAGGAACAGGATGATTGTAAGAATACAGACAGATAATGTGACCAGTAAAGAAGCAGGGAGAATGAAAGCAGGCAAATACATAAGGGCCTTCGCTTCTACAGGTTTATGAATGGCAAAATAAAAAAAAAACTTTGTAAGGAACTCTATTCTCATATAGTTGTGACTTTTATAAAGAAAAAATATTTCCTACAATACTTCTTTTTATTGTAATTGACACATCAATGAATAAAATGTACTTCAAAAGTCCTAAGTATGGATGTTTTAATGTAGCTTACCAAATATTGTGTGTAGCAAGCAGTGTGATGATTTAATGGAGTTTTAAACATCTCATTGGTGAATTCATTGCTTCCCCCAACTGCCATGACTTGATCACCAGCTGAGTCAAGAGAACACATGGTTTTGAGAGACGCAGGTTTTTTGATCATTTCATCACGATGAGTGTGTACACATCACATATGACAAGCCAGCATATCATTTATTTAAGGAGCAGTATTGATCTCTTTAAATTTCATTCCACTCTATTAAATATGTTACAATGTATATAAGATATATAAGTTTAAATATCGTCTCTCAGATATCTTATAAACAAGACAATTTCCCTGCACTCCCAGCTGATTCATACACATGTATCATAACTTATATACCACATCCAATATGTCATGTATTGCATCTTACATGCTGCTAGCAATAGGTAAACAGACAACACCTACGTCATCAATTCTGTTATCTAAACCAAGGTGATGTATTACAACCCAAAGTCACTAGACAGTCTGAGGACAAAAACAGAAGATTTTATGCAGCACAAGCATCCCAACAGGGAGGAACTTGTACACAAGATTTGTCATTTGTGAGTGATAATATACCAAGCACATATAGAGATATTAAGACAGGATTCCCAATCTTAGTGTGTGACACTACAACATCCCAGCAGGTGTCCACAATCTGTTCATTGCATGTGAGAGCAATCGCAAAAACACTCATTCAAGTGAACATACAGGCTTCTGGACAACCAGACAGACAGAGAGACAGACAGATGGACTGAGGAGCACAAACCTAGAAACATGTCTGTAGTACTGCTGTGGCACTGATGTCAATCCTACACTGATCGGGAAATGTACCACCATGACATAAATTATATAGAGAAGTGTAGTAATCTTAGCAATCATCATTACATACACCTACATCTTTGGCAAACTTGATTGTGTGTCATTGACAACAATGTTCCAGAAAACATGTTAACACATGAGGTTATTGTACTATACTTGTGTGTGTAGGCCTTGGAATGGAGCACTGTCGTGTAAAACAACAGATTGTGTATAATGGGAGATAACTGGGATAGAAAATGGAGACAGAATCCAAGGTTTTCTTTTTTTATTATGAGACATCAAATGAATAAATTATTACACATGCTAGTATGCTGAAAGTAGGTCAGTGTCATCTGCTTTTCTTGGCAGACGATGACAGGCCACTAGGAAATTCCCATTCCATGAAGATGTCCAAACAATGCTGTGGTACCAGCCAGCGCAATCTCAGTAACATCTGTCAACAGAAAAAGTACAATAATGAATTACACCAACACAAAAAGTACAATAATGAATTACACCAACACAAAAAGTACAATAATGAATTACACCAACACATAAGTACAATAATGAATTACACCAACACAAAAAGTACAATAATGAATTACACCAACACATAAGTACAATAATGAATTACACCAACACATAAGTACAATAATGAATTACACCAACACAAAAAGTACAATAATGAATTACACAACACACAATAAGTTACACAAACACATAATGAATTACACCAACACAAAAAGTACAATAATGAATTACACAAACACAAAAAGTACAATAATGAATTACACCAACACAAAAAGTACAATAATGAATTACACCAACACAAAAAGTACAATAATGAATTACACCAACACAAAAAGTACAATAATGAATTACACCAACACAAAAAGTACAATAACGAATTACACCAACACAAAAAGTACAATAATGAATTACACAAACACAAAAAGTACAATAATGAATTACACCAACACATAAGTACAATAATGAATTACACCAACACAAAAAGTACAATAATGAATTACACCAACACAAAAAGTACAATAATGAATTACACCAACACATCAGTACAATAATGAATTACACCAACACAAAAAGTACAATAATGAATTACACAAACACATAAGTACAATAATGAATTACACCAACACAAAAAGTACAATAATGAATTACACCAACACAAAAAGTACAATAATGAATTACACCAACACATAAGTACAATAATGAACTACACCAACACAAAAAGTACAATAATGAATTACACCAACACAAAAAGTACAATAATGAATTACACCAACACATAAGTACAATAATGAATTACACCAACACAAAAAGTACAATAATGAATTACACCAACACAAAAAGTACAATAATGAATTACACCAACACAAAAAGTACAATAATGAATTACACCAACACAAAAAGTACAATAATGAATTACACCAACAAAAAGTACAATAATGAATTACACCAACACAAAAAGTACAATAATGAATTACACCAACACAAAAAGTACAATAATGAATTACACCAACACAAAAAGTACAATAATGAATTACACCAACACATAAGTACAATAATGAATTACACCAACACAAAAAGTACAATAATGAATTACACCAACACAAAAAGTACAATAATGAATTACACCAACACATAAGTACAATAATGAATTACACCAACACATAAGTACAATAATGAATTACACCAACACAAAAAGTACAATAATGAATTACACCAACACAAAAAGTACAATAATGAATTACACCAACACATAAGTACAATAATGAATTACACCAACACAAAAAGTACAATAATGAATTACACCAACACAAAAAGTACAATAATGAATTACACCAACACATAAGTACAATAATGAATTACACCAACACATAAGTACAATAATGAATTACACCAACACAAAAAGTACAATAATGAATTACACCAACACAAAAAGTACAATAATGAATTACACCAACACATAAGTACAATAATGAATTACACCAACACAAAAAGTACAATAATGAATTACACCAACACAAAAAGTACAATAATGAATTACACCAACACAAAAAGTACAATAATGAATTACACCAACACAAAAAGTACAATAATGAATTACACCAACACAAATTGAAGTATAACAATTGATACACAACACAGAATTAATATACAGTTTGTGTATACTTACATTGTGTATATCAAAGAGCAGACTGCTTCCGTCCACCAGGTAACATGATCCTGGCCTTGTTGATAATATGGCCTCCTCTAACTTGTCCACGACTGGTCCTAGAGAATTACAGCTAGTGGCAGAAAATTTAGATATGGACTGCTGGACAGCAGCAAAATAGTTCTTTCCATAAGTTGTCTTCACCTCAGGGTGGGCCTTCTCCCAAACCTGCTGGTGTTCCTTCTCTAGACTGGACATCTTCCAAAAGACAAAAACAAGGATTAGTCTCCCAAACTTAATAAAAGTCCTTCTGCATGACTATCACCCACAGGAACAATTTGAATTACAGTCCCCCAATGACACACCAACACACCACCACACCAGGGTGAACTCATACCTCAAGTACGAAGTCCAACTGACAAATAGTGAAGGAGATAAAGCTCAGAATATTTTTAACTTCGATGTAAGTCAAAGGTCAAAATAGAGATCGCAATGACCTAATTTTGATACATGACACACTGCCTCAACAAGAGGAATGCAAGCAGCAAGTATGACTTACCAGTGACAAGTAGTATATAAAGTAGAACTTGAGCAAGAAAGGACAGATAGACACAAAATTATCACAACAAGCTTTTACTTTGATGTAGGTCAAGAACTTAACAACAGTGAAACTGACCTACTTTTGGTACATGACACACTTTCTCACTGAGGTGAACCCATATCCCAAAGCAATAAGTTTCCTTGATTAGTTGTATGGAAGATAGGGCCCACACAAACCTTTTCTTTGATGTAACTCAAAGGTCAAAATATAGGTCAGAGTGACCTTCATTTCATACATGACACACTGTCTTACCAATATGAACCCATTTCCCAAGTATAAAATTTGTGTGATTGGTACTGTAGAAGATAGGGTTCAGACAAATTTTTCTTTTATGTAGATCAAAGGTCATAAAGTAGGTCAGAGTGACACCATCTGTTCTTTTGAATAGTTGTGTGAAGACAGGGTCCAGATACGATAGCAGAAGGACAGAAGTACGCAACACAAAATAAAAGTATTCTGTGGTGCCTGTTGGGGGACTAATTTAAACTTAGGGCTTCTCCTAACCAAGTCCCTTCTCCCAATCTTTACAGAGTTCCCTTCTCCTGAACCTAACCAAGTTCCCTTCTCCTTTACCTAGCCAAGTTTCCTTCTACCAAACCCAACCATCCTCCCTTCTCCCAAACCCAATCATGCTCCCTTCTCCCAAGCCTTACCAAGTTCCCTTCTCCCCAAATCTTTTCGAGTGTGTATACCTTAACAGTGAAGAATTGAGTGTGTTTACCTGTATACCTTAACAGTGAAGAATTGAGTGTGTTTACCTGTATACCTTAACAGTGAAGAATTGAGTGTGTTTACCTGTATACCTTAACAGTGAAGAGTTGAGTGTGTTTACCTGTACATCTTAACAGTGAAGAGTTGAGTGTGTTTACCTGTATACCTTAACAGTGAAGAATTGAGTGTGTTTACCTGTATACCTTAACAGTGAAGAGTTGCGTGTGTTTACCTGTATACCTTAACAGTGAAAAATTGAGTGTGTTTACCTGTATACCTTAACAGTGAAGAGTTGCGTGTGTTTACCTGTATACCTTAACAGTGAAGAGTTGAGTGTGTTTACCTGTATACCTTAACAGTGAAGAGTTGCGTGTGTTTACCTGTATACCTTAACTGTGAAGAGTTAAGTGTGTTTACCTGAATACCTTAACAGAGAAGAGTTGCGTGTGTTTACCTGTATACCTTAACAGTGAAGAGTTGCGTGTGTTTACCTGTATACCTTAACAGTGAAGAATTGAGTGTGTTTACCTGTATACCTTAACAGTGAAGAATTGAGTGTGTTTACCTGTATACCTTAACAGAGAAGAGTTGCGTGTGTTTACCTGTATACCTTAACTGTGAAGAGTTAAGTGTGTTTACCTGTATACCTTAACAGAGAAGAGTTGCGTGTGTTTACCTGTATACCTTAACAGAGAAGAGTTGCGTGTGTTTACCTGTATACCTTAACTGTGAAGAGTTGAGTGTGTTTACCTGTATACCTTAACAGTGAAGAGTTGCGTGTGTTTACCTGTATATCTTAACTGTGAAGAGTTAAGTGTGTTTACCTGTATACCTTAACAGTGAAGAATTGAGTGTGTTTACCTGTATACCTTAACAGTGAAGAGTTGCGTGTGTTTACCTGTATACCTTAACAGTGAAAAATTGAGTGTGTTTACCTGTATACCTTAACAGTGAAGAGTTGCGTGTGTTTACCTGTATACCTTAACAGTGAAGAGTTGAGTGTGTTTACCTGTATACCTTAACAGAGAAGAGTTGCGTGTGTTTACCTGTATACCTTAACAGTGAAGAATTGAGTGTGTTTACCTGTATACCTTAACAGTGAAGAGTTGCGTGTGTTTACCTGTATACCTTAACAGTGAAGAGTTGCGTGTGTTTACCTGTATACCTTAACAGTGAAGAATTGAGTGTGTTTACCTGTATACCTTAACAGTGAAGAATTGAGTGTGTTTACCTGTATACCTTAACAGTGAAGAGTTGCGTGTGTTTACCTGTATACCTTAACAGTGAAGAGTTGCGTGTGTTTACCTGTATACCTTAACAGTGAAGAATTGAGTGTGTTTACCTGTATACCTTAACAGTGAAGAGTTGCGTGTGTTTACCTGTATACCTTAACAGTGAAGAGTTGAGTGTGTTTACCTGTATACCTTAACAGTGAAGAATTGAGTGTGTTTACCTGTATACCTTAACAGTGAAGAGTTGCGTGTGTTTACCTGTATACCTTAACAGTGAAGAGTTGCGTGTGTTTACCTGTATACCTTAACAGTGAAGAGTTGCGTGTGTTTACCTGTATACCTTAACAGTGAAGAATTGAGTGTGTTTACCTGTATACCTTAACAGTGAAGAGTTGCGTGTGTTTACCTGTATACCTTAACAGTGAAGAGTTGCGTGTGTTTACCTGTATACCTTAACAGTGAAGAGTTGCGTGTGTTTACCTGTATACCTTAACAGTGAAGAGTTGCGTGTGTTTACCTGTATACCTTAACAGTGAAGAATTGAGTGTGTTTACCTGTATACCTTAACAGTGAAGAGTTGCGTGTGTTTACCTGTATACCTTAACAGTGAAGAATTGAGTGTGTTTACCTGTATACCTTAACAGTGAAGAGTTGCGTGTGTTTACCTGTATACCTTAACAGTGAAGAGTTGAGTGTGTTTACCTGTATACCTTAACAGTGAAGAGTTGCGTGTGTTTACCTGTATACCTTAACAGAGAAGAGTTGAGTGTGTTTACCTGTATACCTTAACAGTGAAGAGTTGCGTGTGTTTACCTGTATACCTTAACAGTGAAGAGTTGCGTGTGTTTACCTGTATACCTTAACAGAGAAGAGTTGAGTGTGTTTACCTGTATACCTTAACAGTGAAGAGTTGCGTGTGTTTACCTGTATACCTTAACAGTGAAGAATTGAGTGTGTTTACCTGTATACCTTAACAGTGAAGAATTGAGTGTGTTTACCTGTATACCTTAACAGTGCAGAGTGGAGTGTGTTTACCTGTATACCTTAACAGTGAAGAGTTGAGTGTGTTTACCTGTATACCTTAACAGAGAAGAGTTGAGTGTGTTTACCTGTATACCTTAACAGTGAAGAGTTGAGTGTGTTTACCTGTATACCTTAACAGTGAAGAGTTGAGTGTGTTTACCTGTATACCTTAACAGTGAAGAGTTGAGTGTGTTTACCTGTATACCTTAACAGTGAAGAGTTGAGTGTGTTTACCTGTATACTTTAACAGTGAAGAGTTGAGTGTGTTTACCTGTATACCTTAACAGAGAAGAGTTGAGTGTGTTTACCTGTATACTTTAACAGTGAAGAATTGAGTGTGTTTACCTGTATACCTTAACAGAGAAGAGTTGCATATGTTTACTTATACTTACTATGGACTTGTTTAGCAATCCAGTGGCTCCGTAAAAATTGCCTGGTTCTACAGTAATTACTCGGACACCAAACTTTCGCATTTCTCTACGTAAGCTGTTAGAGAAGGCATCACATCCTGCCTTTGTCATAGCATGCGCAGAGTGATAGGGATAACATACCGCTGCACTTGTCACATTGATCACCCGCCCTATATCAAATTAAACACAATCTCTTAACAACAAAAAATTGCTGGTGAGCTTAATACCGTATGAATATTGTCATGTTACAATTGAATTCTCAATGAAACGTAACACTGCTTCTGACCATTATATACCCAGTAAGTTTCTGCCTCTGCAGTATAACTCGGAAGTTTCCGCCTCTGCAGTATAACTCGGAAGTTTCCGCCTCTGCAGTATAACTCGGAAGTTTCCGCCTCTACAGTATAACTCGGAAGTTTCTACCTCTGCAGTATAACTAGAAGGTAAGATTTGAAACTTTGAAGTGTTCTGGTATAGAACATATCACATTGTTCTACCATAAACAAACTCCTTCTGGTTCTATCTATAAAGTATCACGTACATTTGTTCCACCAATAAAACATGTGTGCATCACTTCACAAGTTCTGATCTGTTCTTGAATCTATTTTCCAGAACTCCTTTACTATGTTTGCTGTTAAAACCTTTAACAGAACATGGACTACCAGTGGAATTTCTCACCTTGACATTTCCTGATGTGGGGAAGAAAAGCTTTGGTAACAAGAACAGTCCCTAGTAAGTTGACCTCAGTAACCTTCCTGTATGTATCCATGGAACAGAACTCTACATCCACCAGACAGCTGACCCCAGCATTGTTCACCAGTGCCCAAACACCTGAGGAAAGTTGTATCAGCAATGTCAGATGTTTATAAGATCAGCAGAATTAATTTGGAAACTGTGTTCATCAAAAAGTCATAAACTTTTTAACTTGTGGATGAGAGTTATGTGACCACTTAACACAGATTTGTAAATTAGATGCATCTTACCTTCATCTTTTGTTTTCTTTTTCACAACATCAACAGCACTCATCACTGATTCTTCTGAAGTGACATCGAGAGGGATGACGTGTATGTTTTCACTAGAAGTTGCTGTTTTAAGAAGTTTGGCACCTTCTCCCTCTGGGTTTAGACAGCCAGCATACACAGTCATCCCCAGAGAAGACATACGCTTTGCCAAAGCATGGCCAAACCCTGTTTAAACAAAAACTTTGGTATTTATCATTTAAAGCAAAATAAAATCAGTCTATTCACAATCCTCCAATCCCTAAGTAAATAATTCTGTACCTCAAAAGGAACTGTGGAAGTACACTTAACGGCTCAGACAATTAAAACAAACAAGATTTTTTATTTTAGATGTTACAGGACACTAGCCTATACCGTGTTCTTGTATTACTTAATAGCGTATATTTGTGATATAGCATCTAGTATTGTCTGGCTGGAAATGACCTGTATATCTACTGAGAACAGTTACACAAATACAATAAATCATACCATAATGAGGTAACAATATTCTCCATACAAACTGATCATTTATAGAAATAATCGATTACTAGATAAACATTTTGGACAGAATCAAAGTCCTCTGAAGCTGGGTACTACCTGTGTCGCAGCCTGTGATGAACACCGACCTTCTGTCTGGATTAGATACCCATCGAAAGGTAAGCATCCTCCATATAGAACTAAAGCTGAGGAAGGCTAGTACTGCTAGAATAGTCAATCCTATCGCAGGGATAGCCACCAGGAAAGGCAGGACTGCCAACACTCCAAGGTAGCCAACTTCAAACAGGTGCAGACCCAAAAACTGCTTCACACTCGTATTACTAAAGAACATCGTCATGACTACAACAAAACATTACCATATCACACTGATTAGGCATTATCATAGTAAAAACATATCTTTTGTAAACACAGCTTAGTATTTTGAGAACACTTTGAGTTAAGGAGATCAATTATTGGACAGCTATAGATATATGGGGAATGGGTGGGGAAGTTTTACTTTTCAATGAGTAAGTGATATCACAGAAATGATCAGGTGATAATACCACCCAACTATCACAATGATACCATCAATTAATTTTAGTGATACACAATCATTTGCTGATATCACTACAATGAATTAGTGATATCACTATAATGAATAGGTGATGTCACTATAATGAATAGGTGATCTCACTATAATGAATTGGAAATGTCACTATAATGACTTGGTGATGTCACTATAATGAATAGGTGATGTCACTATAATGAATTAGTGATGTTACTATAATGAATAGGTGATGTCACTATTATGAATTGGTGATGTCACTATAATGAATAGGTGATAACACTATAATGAATTGGTGATGTCACTATAATGAATAGGTGATGTCACTATAATGAATAGGTGATATCACTATAATGAATTGGTAATGTCACTATACTGAATAGGTGATGTCACTATAATGAATTAGTGATGTCACTATAATGAATAGGTGATGTCACTATAATAAATTGGTGGTAACACTATAATAAATCGGTGATATCACTATAATGAATAGGTGATGTCACTATAATGAATAGGTGATGTCACTATAATGAATTAGTGATGTCACTATAATGAATAGGTGATGTCACTATAATGTATTGGTGATGTCACTATAATGTATTGGTAATATCAATAAAGTACTGCATTTAATTGGCGATATCACATCAATGAATTGGTTATATCACTTTAGCAAACAGGTGACTTCTCTCATTTGCTACGACTTCACATTATACATGCAAGATCCAACCAACCCCCGCTCCAACCTCCCACCTTTTAATTTTTTTTGTTTACCACTAATTTCTTATTGCTAAAAGATATTCTATGTTCACAGCATTAAACCTGAATTTAAATACAATATTGAGTGAAATCAGTTACTTGTCTTTCACAAAATTTAATTAATTTTTCAAAGAATCCGCAATGATGTAATCTACTGTACCTTAATTACAAACGTGCAGAAATTCATGTACTGTAGACTTGTTCATGAAACACGCCAATATATTGTTGATGAATCTCTGAATTAAAAGTCGTTCGGCCTACATTGCAATTCCTGTTTGCTTAGACAGCAACACTTGTAAAAATTTATAACACTGATTTGAGCGGAGAACCTTAATTACATAAATTGACGTAAAATTATATTGATTAGTTATATTAGTCATCCAATATACTTCCCCGCCGTGTGCCCCTTTTAGAAACTATCTGATCTACAAATTTGCAGTAACTGTTGTGAGCATCATAATAAAGGTTTATTTGTACAAACAGTACAAACAGAATGCATGAAATATGAAGTGAGAATAGATACAGACCTAGTAGACAGCTCTCGACTTTGGTCGTTGATATACTTACTGAACAGGTCGTACGTTTTCAAGCCGGCAGATCTCACGCGACAATCCTACTGTTCAGCTTTTATATAAAATAAATCCTCTCATTGACGTACTAGAACAAGTCGTGTACGTGTCGATGGGTGGCTGTATCGATATCGGAAACAAACAGCAGTACTGATAGCAGAGGCACAAGCGATGCACGACTCCAGTGTGTCGCTAACGACTGCAGAGAATCCTTGACCCTTGTCAGAGAGGCCAAAGAAGGGTAATCGTAAATATTAAAATGAAAGTACACATTTGCATTGATATCGTAAGAGCTATGGTCAGAGTAGCGTGTCGTCTATACCATTACCTTCCTGTATAAAGCGACTGTTTTTCCTTTATAAATTCGGGAAGCACTTATTCAATTATTATTATTATATAACAACAACAAAAAAACAAAAACAAAAACAAAAAACAAAAAAAACCGCTACATATAACTAGCTACTAAACCTCCCACCAAATGTCTATAACGCCTTCACATCTTCCTAAATCTCAAGCCATCTTAGAAGGCCTGCCAAACATCTTTGACCACCCACCAAATATCTAACTCAACCGCAACAACCAACAAATATCCAGCTCTCCCTCCTCTACCAAATATCTAACCCCTCCCCACTGCACATGAAATATCCAGCCCTGCATCTTCCCCTTCCACTGCCCACCAAATATCCAGTCTGCCCTTCTCCCTCCATCGCCCATCAAATATTCAAACCAACACAACACCTTCCAAATCTCTAGCCCCCTCCAACACCCGCCATATTTCCAACCTGTCTGGATCCTGATGTATGCTGAATCTTCTGCAACACTACCACAAGGCCAACCCTAACTGTCCACCCAATCTCCAACCCTGACCCTTTCTCTATCTATCTACTGCCAAATCGCCTGCCATTACAACACTCGCTAACCTCCAGCTACCCCATGCCTTGAAGTGGGAGGTAATGATATGACCAACTTTATGTAGAAGATGCAGACACTGCCTAGATATACCTCTAGATTCTATACAACGAACAGGCAAAAACAGAGGAATTCACTGGTCAGATTCAGGAGATGCGTATAGATTCTACACCATATAATGTAATAATCTTTAATATGAGATGTGTAGAAGTTACCAGATTCCAGCACCTTCATATTGATTTGATCCCTCATTGCCTATAGGCATATAGGATATGTCCTGACAACACAGGAACACTTAAGGCATATATGTGCCTGGTAAGAAGATACAAAAAGTGCCCATAGGACCTTTTTTGATTTTAAAGAATTTGCTCCATTTCCCATATTGGGCCCTTCTCTTCCAACTTCAGAAGCAGAGACCCTCCACTTATATACAAAATTGGTTTTTTTCTTTACCCAAGGATGCTATAGACCATAGTGGGACAGAATCCTAGCATTTCTACAAAAAAATCCGCTCTATTTCCTTCGTTGGGCATCTCACTCCCACCCAAGCACCTCCTGCCCCAGGAGACTGAAACGTAATTCCCCTTCACACAGGGATGCTTCAGATAATTTATATATCATTGATTCACACTTTACTCAAGGATGCCTTAGACCAAATTGAGACAAAATTCAAGCATTTTGCTGAAAAAAAAAAGGATTTTACAGAATTATCTTATTTTCCCAAAATGGCCCTGCTACTTCTGACTAAGGAGGCAGAGACACTGTTAATACAAAATTAATTCCCCTTCACCTAAGGATACCTCACACCTATAAAGACAAAACTGAATCATTCCTGCAGAAGAAGAAGGACTTTAAAAAACTAGCCTAATTTCCCCTTCTGGGTCCTGCTCCTCAGACCCTTGGGACCCGAGTACCACTCTTTGTACAAACTTTGTTCCCCTTTTCCTAAAATTGCTTCAGACCAAATTTGATCAAAATCCATTCAGTTGTTCATGCCAAGTAGCAATTTTCATGAAAAAAAATGCTGGATGACAGACTGATGACAGATGCACTGGTCCTTCGGACAAGGTGAACTAAAAATGATGATGTTTGCCTACTGAGCATTAAAAAGCCATCCACTCCCTATTGCATTGGCTACCGTTCTAGACATTTATCTTACCATAGTATAGTCTGTAGTATGGCAGAATATTTGAAGGCGTTGAGTCCAAGACTCTCTGACGTTTAGAACATCAAACAAGTATTGTGATATTGTTAATCATTTTGTAGACCAATGTGTCATAAAAAATGCTCTCCTTAATTAAATCCAAGGATTCAATGTCTATCCCCATCCTGATGATGTAATCTTGAAATCAGACTGTCACGCCCTGTAATGGTGTTATTTTAAACACCTCAGTGTAGCAGCTATATCATGCCTTAGCTAAACCTCTACACATCTAATAGGAAGGAGCAAAGAAAAACACCCTGCCACCACTGGGGTTCCATCTAGCGACCCTTTGGACACTATACTGCTCGACTACATGTATAGGGAAATTCCAAGGGTAGAAAGGCGACCTTTACTCTCATTTTCTACACTACTTCCTTCTTCACAAAGTCTTTGACCCCAGAGACAACAACAACCCAGGTTCAATACCGTATTTCACCGCAAATAAGCCCCCCACCCCCACCCCCCACTTTTTCCAATTTGCCATTGGTATTTCCAAGGAAGCATCTTAATCTCCTACAGCTTCTACCCTAGGAGTGGTAGACAGCACTAAATCTGTAATAGATGTTCCTTTTCTTACCACTGACAATCTAAGGAAAGGGTGATGCCATATTATGGCTCATTAACTTTTCCAGATAAATTTAGATATCTACAGACTTTTGTCTGGAATATTAAATCTACATATAAAGATACATTTTGTGTCAAAACAAATAACAAAATTGATTTCAAACAGATTTAATGACCCAGAAAAAGTAGACAATAGCTCTTATCTACATGTCTACACTGTATTGTACAGTGTACAAAACACATACATGTCTACACTGTATTGTACAGTGTACAAAACACATACATGATACATGTATTGTACAGTATACTTAAGTTTGTCTTGTATGACTAGAATGCTATACAGAAAGTGTATGTTTAATTATAACATCAACTTAATTAAAATCTTACAAACAACACTCAGTTTGCTAACATGTCATATTATGTTGATCTATAAAAAATCAGTTAATGCTTACTTCGCATCTGATGACACATTTATTATGATAAGCATTCCATGGCAAAATTTTATATTGTGATATGTCATAGATCACACTACGCATCCAACATTATTCACAAGTAGTTCAACTCAAGTGAATGTATGTAACATAATACATAATGAGCTTACATCTGTGACATGTACAGTGTGAAGAATCCCTTTACATAAGGGAGGTCAACGTAAATAAATTGATCACATGGTCATGTTTCAATGTCATCGTAAGACTTGAGGTAAATAGGTTTGGATTGTTTGATAGCCCTCCGTTGGCCTTTCTTTAACTTAGCACTTAATGGTGGCAGGACACTCTGAGGTATGTTCACCTGAAACAGTAAACATCATCAAATTTATCACTTGTATAATCTAAACTTCAGGATAGCTTTAGTGATATTATTCACCTTCAGGTGTCTTGATGGACTGAAGTAAGTAACCAATATTGTTTAACTGTGATACTGGACTACGGTGTGGCCCTGCGTTACTTTATTTTCGTGATGTATTGTTAAGAGATTATAATTTGTGGCTTTCTTTATAGAATCATTTTGATACATTTTTAAGACAAATGTGTGTGTATTACGACTATATATGGATTGAGAAGACTTCTGTGTGACCCTGTATGACCTTTTTACTTTTGCTTTGGAACCTCAATGAAAAAGGAACAAGAACAACTTACTGGCCTTGGGTAAGGTGTCTTGTAATGAATGGCTGTAAAATAAAAGTCATTACAAAGTTTGACAAATGAAGAACATTTACATAGAGATACTAGAGTGAAATCACTTAACATAAAATTTTCAAGCGGAATGTACAGGTGTAGCTTTTATACACAACCCTCTTAAAACTGAACACATATATACTTGACAAGATACAGGTGTAAAATTTATATGCGCTCTTCTACAAACTAATTATATATGTACCCGACAAAATGCAAGTGTATATTTTATACCCAACCCTCTACACACTGAACATGTCTGTTCCTGACAATGTACAGGTGTAAATTTTATACCCAACCATCTACAAACTGAACACATCTGTTCCTGAAAAATTCAACAGCCATTCTTAGTAATATACCTACCCATTTCTATTCTTGTTTCAGCTTCTTTGATGTGATTTCGAATGGTCTCCTCATCTGAAATCTAAAACACAATTTAACGACTATTGACTATCAGATGAATCAGAACAACAGATATAAGGTCTCTATCACAAACCACTGTGTAGTAATGACACCAGTTAAGTACATTCTTGCATTTGATCACATGATTACTTGTAACAAGAACTGGGAAAATTCCATTCAACAATACCATTACTTCTTGCTCTATTTTTAAACACAGAATGGTATACAAGATAAAGACATTGTCAATCCTTAAAGCATACTATCATGTAGATGTTAACGTCAATAATGATAAGGTATAACACAGGTACTGGCAAACTTTACCAACTTCCACGGAAGAGCAAGTGACTGAACGTTTAAGGCTGGATGACAATATGGAGGATGTGCTGGTGGTAAGAAAGTAAGTTTAACCTTTGATGTGTTCACCCTGAGAGCATGAACCAAAGTAGGATGTCATCATATTGAATACAAACTTTCTAACAGCCTCATTATATTACATCTCTTGATAGAAGTTAATTAGCAAACTTACATTTCTGTTTTTTCGAAACAATTGTTTAGCTTCGTTTAGAATATACTTCTTTTCCATCAAAACATCTTCAGGTTGTGAAGCGTACTTGCCCCAGCCATAAGCCAGTCTCAGGGCACGTTTGTATGCTGCAAGTACCTCTGTCCTTAGGGACATCATGTGATCCTCACTGAAATACCAAAATGTACTATGTAATTATAAATGTAAATTAAGTCTCTACATTTTGCTGCCATAATCAGCTTCTGGTCTTATATAGTTACATCACACCATACCTACTAATTTTCTTCAAACTGCTCATGATAATTCTTTCTAGTACTAGCTAAGAAAAGCTGTTATAAAAAACAAATAATCCTGAGATATATCCTAAATTTAGGTCTGATTTTATCACAGAAAAATATATAAGATTATTGCACAGCAAAACAATAATACTTATACATACATGTACATCTACAGTACCAAGCAATATTCGTGAAGGTCATTTAACAGTAATAACAGTAATTTTCATCAATATGTCAATTTACAGAGTTTTGTCATTAGCCCAGGAAATAGAGGACGATTTTTTTCAAACAATATCCATCAACCGTTTAAATTTAAATTTGGACTGCAAAAACATCTTTAAACTTGTACACTTAATTCATTGACATCAAATAAAATGACATTGAAAATTATGTCTATATTAATTATAGCCTTTAATTATTTTCTTTGAAGGAAAATTATGTATATGCACATGCTAAATGTATGATATCTTGTCTTTTTATCAGAAACTTTTATTACTACATGTCAAAGACATTTGGCAACAGAGGGGAGGTAACTCTAACTTACAGTTGTCAGTGACTGACGAAGTAAGTAGTATTGTTCCTGTGCAACTGTACAAATTGACCTATTTCATTTGGCTCGGTTACCGACACACAAATAAACTTGGCCTTCTACCCGATTAGGACATACTCTGGTTTTCGGTAGACATAGAACCGGTGGTGAACTAATACTGGTGGTTAAGGCACATGCCTATCCAACCGGAAGTTTACAGCAGACAGGAAGTAGAATGTTGCGCATGAGATTAAATTGTGGGTTTCCCAACTTTACAGAAGCTGTCAGTGCTATGCCTACTCCAGAAGTAAAAAAAATCAGATGTTTTTGACGTTCAGCAAATGCCATGGCCAATAGCAGGCTGTCCAATGGTTCTGTAGGCTCCCCACCCAGACTGGGACTTCAAGTACGGAATAATTTACACGTAACTATTCGTAATTCAAAGCGATGTGAAGAGAGGATGTTGATTGAGAGGAAGACGTGGTAATCGTGTTAAAGTGCGATTATCGGTTAATGTTAAATAACATGATAGCTTATTCCTAGATAAGTACACGAAATTACACAGAGAAAATTTCAAATATTCACCAGATCAGTTTTTTCATGTACATACAACAGAGGTCATTATCTATTTCAATGCCTCTGGATCTCCTGGGATGCTGGTCCGAATTCTTCTGACTTGCTATCGACTTGGAGTCGATGAACTTCGGCCCTGTTAGAAGTAAAGGAAAAGGCAACTAGTGGATGGGTCGGCATTAAACGATAAATGTGAAAAGAAGTTGTCATTTTCACATGCATACTGCACATGGATTTTGTATGACATTCTATCAACTTTTTAATATCTGTTTGGAGTTGATGAATGTCACGAGTCTGTACCTATATGGCAATGGGGTAAATAAGCGACCAATGCATGGGTTGACATTCCAACAATAATTATGGAAAGAAATTTTCATTTTCACATGCATATCACACATGGATCAAAAGACCTTTTCTTTATCTACATTATCAGAATGGTTCTGACTTCCAGGATTCAACCCCAGGACCTCTGCCTTACTAGTCTAATGCTCCACCTATCGAGATGGAAATTTCTCACTAACTGAGCAGTAATTAGGACTAGTATCTACCAAGGTTACATACATGGTGTGCATAACATGACAAGGGTGTGGTTAAGTTTGCATGAGAATCCATCAACCCATTAATTGAGTTCACAATCAAGTAATGATATTGTTACTTGACCAATAACCATGTGGTTGAAGGATTCCATAATAAATTTGAAATGATGAATGGGCTTCACACCTGTCAACTCTTTTGAATTAGAAAATACTTGATTTATTAAATCAGCAAAAATCATGCCAGCCATCTAAGTATATTGATGCACCATATTTTGCATGGTGTAGATCTTTTACTTGATTGATGGTTATGTTTTTGACTTCCAAGAAAAGGTTTTCATTCTTGGGTTTAAGGTGAAATGTCCTTTTACTAAATTGCAAAATACCATATTTTTGTCATCCTGGTACTCCAAATGTAATCAGATTTTTTTACTATTATTAGATCAGATGGTGAGCTATTTACATCACCGTCTGTCCTTAAACAATTCCTGTTATCACTATTTCCTTAAGAAATATTGGATGGATCATTTCCAAATTTCTTGCAAAGGTTCCCTTTGATCCCTAGTTTTCCCATTTTGGAACAAATCTGAAAAACAAAATGGTTGATGGACAGCATCTTTGTTTTTGACAGTCATTATTTGTCGCCTTTATTTCTGGAGAAGTACTGGATGACTCTTTCCCTTACTTCATACGTAGGTTCCCCTTGGTCTGTTATACTCTTTAGATTTTTGGACTGATCAGAAAAACAAAATGAGTGAAAAGCTGCCATCTTGGATTTTGTCTGCATAAAATTTGTTATCTGTTTTTTGGGAAGTATTGGATTTCACGTGTATGTTCCCTTGGTTAGTTGTAATGCCAATTTGATTTAGGGAGTGATCAGAAAAGTCCAAAGTGGACTGACAGGTAACTGTTGATTTTGATCACCAAGGTTTGTTATTACCATTTCTTCAGAAGTACTTGATTGATCTTGAACAAACTATGTGTGTAGGTTCCCCTGTTGACTTGGAGCTGATTAGAAAAATTAAGTGGCTGACCAGTGACCATCTTAGATTTGGCATTTTATAATTATCTCTATTTCTTAAGAGGAATTTTCAAATTTCATATAATTTAGAGCAAAAAAAGAAGATGGAAAAGAAAAGAAGGGAGAAAATCCTATTTTTTTGATAAGGATCAAACAATGTAGTACACCATGATCCCTCTGGAATCTCTTGTTTATGATTAATAATTTGTTTTAAGTGACAACAATCATACTTAAAATCTGTGTGTGTTTTATTAGGATCATGCTCTGAGTTGGACGGATGACCTCCCTGTATGTCAGCTGTCTGGGATAGGTTTCTCCACCAATCAGGTCTATCGGGAGGATGGCATCCGACGAGAACTTCATGAGTTTGAGGACAGGAGCTTCCACTTCAAGTTGGTTTATATTATCTAACTTGTAGGAAAAAATGACTTTGTATACGTATAATTATTTGATACTGAATTAAAAACAATATATTGTTGATATTTTGTGTTTAAGGATTTAGAATTACACAGTAGGTTTTCTTGAGTAATGATATATAAGATTCATTCATGTCCTGAATTTGTTATTTGATATTGGTGACTAGCAAAAATGGAGTACCTGAAGAAGCCAGTCTGGACAGCTACTCACAATTTAGATGTAAAGAGTTGGAAAAGCAAAGCTTAGATTTGGTACAGTTTAATTGTTTGTTTTTATCACTGAAAGAGGTCAGATTAAAATTGATTCTGTCTGTGCTCTTGAATTTTGACACGATTGCCTTGCAGACTTGATGATGACTGTTATCTATATGGAGTATTTGATGGTCATGATGGCAGTAAAGCATCAAACTTCACATCTCAGAGGATGCCGGCGGAGTTACTTCTCGGACAGCTCGGTGAAACTACGTCTGATGATGAAATAAAAGAAGTCTTAAACCAGGTATTTCTACTAGTGGCTTTTTTTAGGTTTTTTTTTTTTGTTGTTTTTGTTTTGTTTTGTCGTATTGAGTTTGAAGTTTCTTTTACTGGTAAGTGTTAAATTTGTGTCCGTCTAATTTAACATGAATATGACACTTCTCTTTTTCAGGCATTTATAGCTGTGGAAAAGAGTTTCTTTGAGTCCATTGACCATGTCTTTGCTGAGAAAACTACTATTCAACTGCAACTCCCAGAGGTAAAGCATCTCAATGATTTTTATTGCATGAGATTGCATGGTATCCTGATGGTGTGTGTTGACAAATACCATTTCATGAATACATGTATGTTTTAGTTGTCGGGAGCAAAAAAAAAAAAAAAAAAAAAAGAGAGATGGGAAAGTAGGGCAAGCCATTAATAAAACAAGAGTACCAAGATGGGCAACCCTGGAATAGCAAAATTTACTATGGACAGACGAACAGACAGACAATACCATACCATGATATGGCCCGTTGTAGGACAGGTGCTAGTATCCCCCTACCGAAATGGCACAGGTAACAACACTATAAAAGCACTCATATTCTTTCAATTGATCTAATGTCCATCACTCCCTTGCCATGGTAATCTTTCACCTGTCTTTCCTATCCTTCGTGCAGGACTGATCACCTTGTCATCTAGGTTGGGGGACCCCAGTACAGAGACTAACTGCCATTATATTGAAAACAAAATTAAAAGTATATAGTTTGATGGGTAGACACAGCCATCCACTTGAGGCTGGTCCTTAGGTAGACGTGAATGAAAACACTTAATCCACGTTCACATAGATTATACATATTTCACATTTAAACGCTACATAAAATACAATAAACACTAATTTTCATCAACACATAGAATATATCCACATACATAACATAGATGTATACAAACATGTATACAAGCACTAACCAACACTTAACTTCACACTCACACACACCCTCAGACACATCCCCAATTACTCACACATAATTTGTGTACATTGTGAACTTCACACTCACACACACCCTCAGACACATCCCCACTTACTCACACATAGTTTGTGTACATTGTGAACTTCACACTCACACACACCCTCAGACACATCCCCACTTACTCACACATAGTTTGTGTACATTGTGAACTTCACACTCACACACACCCTCAGACACATCCCCACTTACTCACACATAATTTGTGTACATTGTGAACTTCACACTCACACACACCCTCAGACACATCCCCACTTACTCACACATAATTTGTGTACATTGTGAACTTCACACTCACACACACCCTCAGACACACCCTCACACATAGACACATCACCCACTTACTCACACATAATTTGTGTACATTGTGAACTTCACACTCACACACACCCTCAGACACATCCCCACTTACTCACACATAATTTGTGTACATTGTGAACTTCACACTCACACGCACCCTCAGACACATCCCCACTTACTCACACATAATTTGTGTACATTGTGAACTTCACACTCACACACACCCTCAGACACATCCCCACTTACTCACACATAATTTGTGTACATTGTGAACTTCACACTCACACACACCCTCAGACACATCCCCACTTACTCACACATAATTTGTGTACATTGTGAACAAACCTGAATCATTATAGATATTAACACTTTCATTTATTATTGCTACAAACACTGTGACCTGGAAAATAGGAATAACCTTGCACGCCTCCTCCATACAACGGTACCAAATGCATTAGAAATTTCATTCTTACGTACACAAAAGTGTATATATTAACTCACACATATATATACATATATGACTCTTGCCTTGATAAATTTCCAGTGTACAGTGATACAAGGCATATAAAGTACAGCAGTAGATAGAATAACCATTTACTTTACTTATGTATGGACAGTTTTAAGTCAGCACATGGAACTGCAACAGGTAAAGGTCGCATACTACATGCGAGTGCTGTGCAGTGCACGTGTTACCGTTACTTGATTGACTCGGGCAAACACACCGAAACACTGTCTTGAAGAACTGATCCAGAGGCTGTGGATGTTGGAATGATGTCAGTACTGAGTGAGGCTTTAGTTATGAATATTCTTTTCAGAGTGTTCTGGAAATTCAACATAGCCTTACACAGCTTTTGAGGGTCAGTTTACCTCTTGAAACGGACATGAACAGTCACTTTATTGTTCTGAACTTTACCAATGGTATAGCTGCTGGACAAGTTCCTTTATGACAAAGACACCCCAATCTCCCGACATATATATAGCAGGATTAGTATTGAACTCCCGAATATGACCAGACATAGGAACTAATGTGAGAGTCCTGTTTATTAATAACTTACTGTAGGGTTGTCAAAGCCTCTTCTATCCTGTTGTTCACAACTGAATTAAGGAGAGAAATATCTGAGAGGGCCTGAGTTAAGGACAGAAATATCTGAGAGGGCCTGAGTTAAGGACAGAAATATCTGAGAGGGCCTGAGTTAAGGACAGAAATATCTGAGAGGGCCTGAATGACAACACTATCAGTAGCTGGCTTGTTGTGAAAGTGGGAGCCAAGGTTTCTGCGAAGTTTCGACATGACGGATGTAGCTGCATCAGATGACGTGTCAGATGGGTAGGAATTGAAACAGTCAGGTGTGAAAATGGATGGGGGGAGTCTTTGTTTTCTGTATTCAACCCATCGGTGGGGGACAGTGGACAACTCATCATTTTTTTTTCTGAAATAAAGGGTCTGGTATTGACCTTAACAGATTGGTGAAGATCATAGCTTGTTCAGAAGTTATAGAGCAGGAATTGAGGTAGAGGTTCTTGGGCAAGTATGTGAGTGAGGGTACATTATACCAGTATGTAGACTTTGTATAGAATCCAGGTACATGTAAACACTTGCACTGGTCACAGCAAAACAACTATTGAAGCCACAAAACACTGAAGTTGTCCAGTCAGTATATGAATTTTTGTCTTCATTAGTCACATATACATCATTGGTATCAACACTTTCAATTCAGTATATCCTAAAAAATAGATAATTATAAAGATATTCACCACTCGTGAAATACTACTCACCTTCACTTGACCATCACGTGATTTCAGTCCCATGGTAGCAGCTTATATACATTAAGGTTTGAGAAAGTTAACCAAACTCATTTGTTAGTGGTTAAAGACCTCTTGTTATTTGTTTCTGTGTCTGATAATAAACCCACTCGTGTATATTGCTGCTCAGCAAAATAACAAACAATACTGTTTCATTGTCCTATAATTATACAAGAGTCTGTTAGCAGCACACTTGGATTAAACAATTTCTTTGTTTGGGACCATTTTAAAGAGAAGGATATTAAAAGAATTGAGACTCTATGATATAGAGAAAGCAATAATTTACAGAGAATAAATGATCTACCCTACCAGGACAGACTTCAAGAACTAAAACTTGTAACTTTATTTTACAGAAGGGCAAGAGGGGATGGGATAGCTCTTTATAAGACAATACATACATTATACAATAAAACATCTTGCAGTTTTGTAAAATTATGGAGAGATGTGACATCAAGGCACAGCAACAAAAGAAATGTCAAAATGATTTTTCCATAAAAAATGTAGGACATCCCTGAATTTTACTGTTAGATATACAACATTTTAGGATAGTTTTCCAGTAAATATAAAGCTGAAAATGAAATGTATCATATTGTCAGCCATGAGGGAGATACATTAATGTCATACAGAGAAAACTATCTTTTTCTTGTTCATAATTTCATCTTGTTCCAACTAGATTCTTCAACAGGACTGAATTACCTCCCTTGTGCTTTGTTCAGTATCCGATTCTGGAGGGATGAATTGATATAAACAGTCAGATATTGAACATAACAAAGATGTAAATTGAACTTGACACTGCTAAAGTATTTTATTGATGATATGAAGCAGTATTGCATATAAAAACCAATTATTCCACTTTATATTATGGTGGTGTAATACAGGGTCTGGACCACTATGTATTACACATACTATTCCATTAAGTGTTTTGTTGGTGTATATCAGGATCTGGACCCATTTTTTATAGCATGGATTATTCCATTAAGTATTACGATGGTATATTTCAGGGTCTGGACCACTATATATGACATGAGCTATTCCATTAAGAGTTATGATGGTATATTTCAGGGCCTGGACCACTATATATGACATGAGCTATTCCATTAAGAGTAATGATGGTATATTTCAGGGCCTGGACCACTATATATGACATGAGCTATTCCATTAAGAGTTATGATGGTATATTTCAGGATCTGGACCCATTTTTTATAGCATGGATTATTCCATTAAGTATTACGATGGTATATTTCAGGGTCTGGACCACTATATATGACATGAGCTATTCCATTAAGAGTTATGTAGGTATATTTCAGGATCTGGACCCATTTTTTATAGCATGGACTATTCCATTAAGTATTACGATGGTATATTTCAGGGTCTGGACCACTATATATGACATGAGCTATTCCATTAAGAGTTATGATGGTATATTTCAGGGCCTGGACCACTATATATGACATGAGCTATTCCATTAAGAGTTATGATGGTATATTTCAGGGCCTGGACCACTATATATGACATGAGCTATTCCATTAAGAGTTATGATGGTATATTTCAGGGTCTGGACCACTATATATGACATGAGCTATTCCATTAAGAGTTATGATGGTATATTTCAGGGCCTGGACCACTATATATGACATGAGCTATTCCATTAAGAGTTATGATGGTATATTTCAGGGCCTGGACCACTATATATGACATGAGCTATTCCATTAAGAGTTATGATGGTATATTTCAGGGCCTGGACCACTATATATGACATGAGCTATTCCATTAAGAGTTATGATGGTATATTCAGGGCCTGGACCACTATATATGACATGAGCTATTCCATTAAGAGTTATGATGGTATATTTCAGGGCCTGGACCACTATATATGACATGAGCTATTCCATTAAGAGTTATGATGGTATATTTCAGGGCCTGGACCACTATATATGACATGAGCTATTCCATTAAGAGTTATGATGGTATATTTCAGGGCCTGGACCACTATATATGACATGAGCTATTCCATTAAGAGTTATGATGGTATATTTCAGGGCCTGGACCACTATGATGCCTGTAGACAGTACCCAGATATCATGAATAAGCTTAATGAACTGGAGAGAAACATAACTGGTGGTACCACAGCTACTGTAGCTCTTATCTGCCACAACAAACTGTACGTGGCAAATGTCGGTAAGTACACACTAGAACAGCATAGGATGTTTTGGCAAATATGATCAAAATAGGGAACCCTTTTCTGACAGGTGTTGCCAATGAATTGAAAGATATACATGTGTCCTCCAGTCGTTATAACTTGGATAGATGTATTAAACCAAATTTTTTTTTTTAGTTGTATTATGAGAAGATGAAGGTCTTGTTTGCTTTTTGTAAACTTGTTTGATCCAGAGTTATGGTTCATTTTCAGAGCTTGATTACATAATGAAGTAAATTTCAAATGCTAATCAGTATAACTCATCTTTTAATTCACGTGGTTCAAAGGGCTATCTGGTGTCAATTTTTCCTTGAAACAACTCGATAACCAATGTACCAAATGTTTTAATGTTTTAATGTTTGATGGATATGTCCCTAGGATAAAGCCTGACCTTTATTCAAGGTCACAGTGGTCAGATTTGTTATTACCTTTAAATTATGACTTCTCATGAACTGAAAAGCCCAGAGGTAGAAATTTGGCAGGTATGTTTGTAGGGTGACGCTAGACAAAATTTGCGAAAAGAAACAATCTTGACCAAGGTCACAGAGGTAAAATTTGTTAAAACCTTTAAAAAACTTCTTCAGTACTCCAATTGCCCAATATCATAAATTTAACTTTCTTGTACACATTGATTCATACAACCTTTCTGACAATTGTTAATTAGTACAAATGATATTTAGCAGTAACATACTGCTTCTAAGTTGGTGTACTACATAACTTCTAGCCTTATTTATTCTCAGATTACCATTAAGGCCCATTTACCTTCTGCTTTTTCATTTACATAATGATTTTTATACCCACTTTTTAAGTTTGTCAATTGAATTTGAAAAAAAAGATATGTACCAGGTGAGTGCTGCAAGCCCATTAGGCCTCTTGTTCAAATTTTGATTTGGATAATGGAGGAAGAATGTACCTGCAAACTGTATCTCTCAATGCTTATACACATTTTGGTGTGTATCTATTTATTCTCTGATATCTCTTTCACACTTAAAAATTGAATTGTTTTTGTAGGTGACTCTCGTGCACTGTTGTGTACGACAGATGATGAAGGCATGCTGAGGGTAATGCAGCTTTCTGTTGATCATTCACTGTTGAATGAAGAAGAGTTGAATCGCCTTGCTCAGCTTGGTCTGGACATAGAACAACTAAAACAATGTCGACATGTGGGTAGCTCTGACAGCACACGTTGTATAGGTGACTACCACGTCAAAGGAGGCTATAAAGACATAGATATACTCAGGTATGTATCTGGTACTCACTGAACCATTACATGTTGTTTAAACTAAAGACATAGATATACTCAGGTGTGTATCTGGTACTCACTGAACCATTACATGTTGTGTTAACTAAACACATAGATATACTCAGGTATGTATCTTGTACTCAGGGAACCATTAAATATTGTCTTAACTAAAGACATAGATATACTCAGGTATGTATCTGGTTCTCAGGGAACCATTACATGTTGTTTAACTAAAGACATAGATATACTCAGGTATGTATCTGGTACTCACTGAACCATTACATGTTGTTTAAACTAAAGACATAGATATACTCAGGTATGTATCTGGTACTCACTGAACCATGACATGTTGTGTTAACTAAGGCCATAGATATACTCAGGTGTGTATCTGGTACTCACTGAACCATTACATGTTGTGTTAACTAAACACATAGATATACTCAGGTATGTATCTTGTACTCAGGGAACCATTAAATATTGTCTTAACTAAAGACATAGATATACTCAGGTATGTATCTGGTTCTCAGGGAACCATTACATGTTGTTTAAACTAAAGACATAGATATACTCAGGTATGTATCTGGTACTCACTGAACCATTACATGTTGTTTAAACTAAAGACATAGATATACTCAGGTATGTATCTGGTACTCACTGAACCATGACATGTTGTGTTAACTAAGGCCATAGATATACTCAGGTGTGTATCTGGTACTCACTGAACCATTACATGTTGTGTTAACTAAACACATAGATATACTCAGGTATGTATCTTGTACTCAGGGAACCATTAAATATTGTCTTAACTAAAGACATAGATATACTCAGGTATGTATCTGGTTCTCAGGGAACCATTACATGTTGTTTAAACTAAAGACATAGATATACTCAGGTATGTATCTGGTACTCACTGAACCATTACATGTTGTCTTAACTAAAGACATAGATATACTCAGGTGTGTATCTGGTACTCACTGAACCATTACATGTTGTGTTAACTAAACACATAGATATACTCAGGTATGTATCTGGTACTCAGGGAACCAGTACAAGTTGTGTTAACTAAAGACATGGATATACTCAGGTATGTATCTGGTACTCAGGGAACCAGTACAAGTTGTGTTAACTAAAGACATAGATATACTCAGGTATGTATCTGGTACTCAGGGAACCATGTTGTGTTAACTAAAGATATATATATACTCAGGTATGTATCTGGTACTCACTGAACCAGTACAAGTTGTGTTAACTAAAAAACATTGTTTGATTTGTAGATTATTAAATGCTTTATTCAGGAACTTAATCTGAGATCCACCTGTAAACATAGCTCTTCAATTTATAGTCTATGGTATTCCTGTATAGTTCTGTCATTAATTATTATATCATGCTGATCAAGATGTTTTTTTTATTTCTTTGAAAGGAGTGCGGTACGAGAGCCGGTAATAGCTGATCCCTATGTCCATGGTGGGATCAACATTGACAGCTCAAGTTGTTTCCTTATTCTCATGTCTGATGGTCTATATCAAGCCTTACAAGATGCTAAGGGGTGTGATCGTGTCAATGTGGAAGTAGCACGAATGGTGGCGGAGGAGTTTTCTGTTCAGTCTACATTAAATGGGGTAGCTCAGGCAGTTGTAGATAAAGTTGCACGCATACATCACGATACCTATTTAACAATTCCTGAAAAAAAGCAGCTGTGTCAAAAACGTGGAGACATTACCTTGTTGGTGAGAAATTTCAACTATCCCTTAGCCAATGCAGGAAGCCCAGCAGGAAGTGCATCTTATCATCCAGTATCCATACCCTTTTATCAGGGGCGGGCAAACAGCCAGCCCCCTGTGTCAGTCCCAAACTATCTTCCAGTTACCACTACACCAACTTCTGATTTAGACATGATGTCCTTCACATCACCCCAGACACCTACTGCCGCGGGTACACCAGGTAAAGATACTCTGACCTCGGAGTCCAGTAGAAGTGAAAGTGGTCAGTCGACACTTAATACCTACGCTAGTACAAACTCTACCAGTACAAACTCCACCCAGAGTAGTGGAGAGACACGATTTCCCAGTCGTTATTATCACACTACCAAGCTGGACTTGGATGCAGATGGTAAAATAGAGGCTTACATAGATTTCTCTGAATTTTATCGAGCTATTGATGAACTAACAGAAGCACAGAGAGAATCGCTCAATGCGGAAACAAAACCTAAATCACCATATGAGCCCATCACAGAGGAAACTGAATCGTTTGTACCTGAAAACTGAGTTTTTTGGATCCATATATTGTGAATCACTCCATGATGTTCTGTATGTGCTGTTTTGACAACAATGTTTGTTATTTAATTGTACTTCATTAATGCCTAATCAGTGTTTCAGTATGGAAACAATCACCCAACAATGATACTATTTATTGCAGTGTGTTTAGTCTAGTATCATGTGACCCATGTTTTGAATGTTCTTATTTTAGTAATCAAATACAAATGCTTGAACAATGTTTAATACAACTTCAACTGTAGAAAATCGGTTTTAATTATTTTTTTGAGAGCTGAGTCTGACAGATTATGCAATTTAATCTTAAAATTTAATATCAGAGTTTGTATTAGAAAACAACTATATTTTTATATGCATTACAGATGGAAAGCTCAATATGTTTTGTTACAATGATACTTGACTGTATACATATAAGTATACATAACTTTGCCAGTGTATAACAAATCAACCTGTACTAGGAGATTGTGCTAGAAATCACTCCTTTTATATATGATTATACATGCGTTGTGTATAAAGTAAAACTTTGATTTGTACATTGTTGTTGTTTTTGTGGGTCTAATTCACTGGTACAATTGATCCTAGCTTAGATCAGGGGAAAAATTAGTCTTCAGATAGATGTCCGAGTTAGATTGTCAAAATCAAGATGAATTATAAAACAAATGATCAAAATATTGCTTTTCATATAATAACTTCCTATGGTCCAATTCAATCAAACTTTGATAAACTATTTCTTATTATGGAATACTTGCGTTAATGTATACAGTGTCAAAGGTCAGGGTCACTGTTACTGGAGGGTTTGATTTTGTTATACGTGGAGAAACCTTAAAAATCAAACATTTCCAAAATACTGTTAAAGAATGATTTTTTTCAAGGACTTTTCAAGTCTCCAGTACTGACTGATATTGGCTGTGCTAAGTAGGGCCAAGACCCAGAAATTAGAGGTTGAGATTATTGTTGCTGTAAATTCATTTTGTAGAACAACTCAAGTTTTTCTGTAGCCAATCTTAATCAAACTTGATGCAATGCCACTTAACCAAAAGTGCTTGTTTGAGATAGATTGCCATTCAGGTTCAAAGGTCAAAGTTCACTGTAACTATAAGTTATAATCAGTTTCTGTGTGATAACTTGAGTTTGCTTTGCCCAATCTAAATCAAACTTCATACAATGCTTCCTTACCAAAAGTGCTTGTTTGGGATACTGCTTATTATATCCCAAGTTTTAGGGTCAAGGTCACTGTTATTGTAAATAAAACAATCAGACTGTTGAATGTATTTGTTAGTATGGGTTTTTTTCCATGAGGCTCTTTCTTGACTTTTGTGGCAGAGTGTACTGAAGGACTTGTCAACAATCTGTCAGTCTGGGGTGTGTCTAAGGCTGGGGGCTTATTTTATTTAATAGTAAAGTTACAGAAACAAATGAGGTGTCATTCTACAGTGAATCAACAAAAAAGGCCTTTAAATCCCCATGGTTCTTTAATGGTGTCTATGGAACTGTATTGTAGAAACTGTATATTTCTGTATTGCCAATATTTCTTGTCAAATTCCTAAATCTTGTACCACTATGTCATAGATAATGCAGAAGTGTACATTCTGGAGGGAACTTGTCCAAGATATCAGCAGACTAAATGTCATGAAGGGAACTTGTCCAAGATATCAACAGACTAAATGTCATGAAGGGAATTTGTCCAATGTATCAGCAGACTAAATGTCATGGAGGGAACTTGTCCAAGATATCAACAGACTAAATGTCATGGAGGGAACTTGTCCAAGATATCGGCAGACTAAATATCATGGAGGGAACCTGTCCAAGATATCAGCAGACTAAATGTCATGGAGGGAACTTGTCCAAGTAAAGCAGACTAAATGTCATGGAGGGAACCTGTCCAAGTAAAGCAGACTAAATGTCATGGAAGGAACTTGTCCAAGATATGGGCAGACTAAATGTCATGGAGGGAACTTGGCCAAGATATCGGCAGACTAAATGTCATGGAAGGAACTGGTCCAAGATATGGGCAGACTAAATGTCATGGAGGGACCTTGGCCAAGTAAAGCAGACTAAATGTCATGGAGGGAACTTGTCCAAGATATCGGCAGACTAAATGTCATGAAGGGAACCTGTCCAATATATCCGCAGACTAAATGTCATGGAAGGAACTTGTCCAAGTAAAGCAGACTAAATGTCATGGAGGGAACTTGTCCAAGATATCGGCAGACTAAATGTCATGAAGGGAACCTGTCCAAGATATGGGCAGACTAAATGTCATGGAGGGAACCTGTCCAATATATCAGCAGACTAAATGTCATGGAGGGAACTTGTCCAAGTAAAGCAGACTAAATGTCATGGAGGGAACTTGTCCAATATATCAGCAGACTAAATGTCATGGAGGGAACCTGTCCAAGATATCGGCAGACTAAATGTCATGAAGGGACTAAATGTCATGGAAGGAACTTGTCCAATATATCAGCAGACTAAATGTCATGGAAGGAACTTGTCCAAAATATCGGCAGACTAAATGTCATGGAGGGAACCTGTCCAAGATATCGGCAGACTAAATGTCATGGAGGGAACCTGTCCAATATATCAGCAGACTAAATGTCATGGAGGGAACTTGTCCAAGTAAAGCAGACTACATGTCATGGAAGGAACTTGTCCAAGTAAAGCAGACTAAATGTCATGGAAGGAACTTGTCCAAAATATCGGCAGACTAAATGTCATGGAGGGAACCTGTCCAAGATATGGGCAGACTAAATGTCATGAAGGGAACCTGTCCAAGATATCGGCAGACTTAATGTCATGGAGGGAACCTGTCCAATATATCAGCAGACTAAATGTCATGGAGGGAACTTGTCCAAAATATTGGCAGACTAAATGTCATGGAGGGAACTTGTCCAAGATATCGGCAGACTAAATGTCATGGAGGGACCTTGGCCAAGTAAAGCAGACTAAATGTCATGAAGGGAACTTGTCCAATGTATCAGCAGACTGAATGCCATGGAGGGGACTTGTCCAAGATATCGGCAGACTAAATGTCATGGAGGGAACCTATCCAAGATATCGGCAGACTAAATGTCATGGAGGGAACCTGTCCAATATATCAACAGACTAAATGTCATGGAGGGAACTTGTCCAAGTAAAGCAGACTAAATGTCATGGAGGGAACCTGTCCAAGATATGGGCAGACTAAATGTCATGGAGGGAACTTGTCAAGATATGGGCAGAACCACTAGTTTCCACCAACTTCAAACCCCCTTTAAACACTGTTTATAGTGGTGGTTAGACAGAAATCGGACCTCTGAAGAAAAGAAAGCTGGTTTAGCTTCTTGTCTTTACAGAGTTGGTTTATCTTGTCTTTACAGAGTTGGTTTATCTTGTCTTTACAGAGTTGGTTTATCTTGTCTTTACAGAGTTGGTTTATCTTGTCTTTACAGAGTTGGTTTATCTTGTCTTTACAGAGTTGGTTTATCTTGTCTTTACAGAGTTGGTTTATCTTGTCTTTACAGAGTTGGTTTATCTTGTCTTTACAGAGTTGGTTTATCTTGTCTTTACAGAGTTGGTTTATCTTGTCTTTACAGAGTTGGTTTAGCTTGTCTTTACAGAGTTGGTTTAGCTTGTCTTTACAGAGTTGGTTTAGCTTGTCTTTACAGAGTTGGTTTATCTTGTCTTTACAGAGTTGGTTTATCTTGTCTTTACAGAGTTGGTTTAGCTTGTCTTTACAGAGTTGGTTTATCTTGTCTTTACAGAGTTGGTTTATCTTGTCTTTACAGAGTTGGTTTATCTTGTCTTTACAGAGTTGGTTTAGCTTGTCTTTACAGAGTTGGTTTATCTTGTCTTTACAGAGTTGGTTTAGCTTGTCTTTACAGAGTTGGTTTATCTTGTCTTTACAGAGTTGGTTTAGCTTGTCTTTACAGAGTTGGTTTAGCTTGTCTTTACAGAGTTGGTTTAGCTTGTCTTTACAGAGTTGGTTTAGCTTGTCTTTACAGAGTTGGTCATTCCGTTTTTGATTAAGTGTTATTAACATGAGTGACATCAGGACTTAGATATCTGGTAATATTCTACCATATCTAACATTATCAGTAGTGACAAGACATCCATCCCTCCCATGTAATAATCCCATTGCCTCCAAGCTTTTCAGATATATGCGACACTGTAATATGTAAATTTGTATCGCCCAATTTATTTATTGTGCAGACGGAATCTTAGTCCTTAGAAAACTTCAGTTTACAAAAAACAAAGCAATGGAGAACCTCGGTGAATGGAATGGAAACTTGGTGGTACTTATGAATTCGGTGGAAGATTGCGTAAGATATTGTGAAAAGGGCACTCTGCATTGGATTCTCATTAAATATGGATTTATTCCATTACGTTTGTTCTGATGACGTTCTCCCGGCCTTTGTATATCGGTTTAGAGTCCACTTCAGGCTGATGTAAAACGTCAATGGAGCCGAGAAGAACGTAAGAATGATTCGGACTATGTTTCATTTTGGTGTTACAGGGCCACAATGTAGGAATATTTGTCAGGGGGAAAAACACTTATGTAAGCAGATAAGCTTGGTTTACTCCTGTGTGTATCGTAAGATCCTACCTTTCTATACAGGATCCAATTTTCTCACGAAATAAATATTACTTAACGCTTCAATGATGTAAAGGATACAACTGTGAATCGTATATATTGGATTATCATTGTAAGTGAGAACAACCCTTCCTGACTCGGCTACTGTATCAAATGTATTGAGACATCTATAAACGATTTCTGACGGTAAGTCCTGTCACAGGACGTATAACATGCGGAGACAAAAACAAAAACAAAAAAACATCAGGTCTATGACGAACGACACTGAATCGCTTCAGCTCTCTCGAAAGTGGGGGATTAAAACACTTTTTCACCGCATAACTAAACTGTTGTATTCTGTCTTCAATATAATATCGTAAGATGCATGTGTAATAACACTATTGACCACTTGTGATATCATAAATAGGTTAAGTGAGGTTATGTGATTGTCTTGGTAGTGACAAAACGCACCGTCAACGTTGAAATAAATCTGTCTTAAAGAGAAATGGAGAAAGTTTTCAGAAATACGGTAATGATAAATAGAATCTAATACTCGGATCCATGTAACATGAATTTTATTGGATATATCGATCATTCGTTGGCGACATATCAAATTATTGAACTTGTTTATTAAGTCTATTTTACACCCACTCTCGTGTACGGTTCTCCTACGTCAACATTTAAAAACGACGAGTCCAAAGCCGTCCATGGTCATCGACAAACGTTTTCGGCTGTACTACAATCGCATGTACACGAAGGTCGAAAATAGTGTGACGAGATGGTGAACAAATTAAAGACAAAAAATACACCAGATTGTAACAATGTACTGTAGTGAATTCGGCTACGCTTTGTTTAACACTTGGTCATTTATATACGAGAGTATGTGCCCCCTCGTCCCTATTAAGTACTGGCCCTTGCGGCGTATCCAGATGGCTTCCTTAACCAACCACTTGAAAAGGTTGTCTTCCCTGTCGACTATTTTGG